ATTTATATTACGGTATTCCCATGAGATTTTGCCGTCTTCTCGAATGCCTTGGCCAACCATTCCCTCAACGAAGAGGTACATATCACGTTTTCTAATCGTATATCATCCTTAATCCACAACCCACCACCTGCACGTGTATATCTGTAAAAATATGTAAACTCCTTCTCGCAATATGTTCAACGCCAACAACGAGCTATCCAGAATTCCGGGCCCAAGGCCTTGAAGTATGAATAAGATCCCCAAACTCCTTGTGGTACAATGTATTCTTAGCTTAACCTCGGACCACCAGCCCTTGCCTTTTGAGCTTCCTCCATCATCAGGCGTTCCGTGAAACTGCGCGGTGTGCCAGAGAAGCCGCCGGTATTGGCGACGCTGGCGCGGAAGCTGCTTAGATCTGCTTCATCCATGCCGCTGCGTCCGTCCAATCCCCCAACAAACGTATTGAAATGCCCTAACGAGGCAGCCTGAGCATGTACTTCGGGATTACGAACGACAGGCATGACTACTGGCCGTCCTTTGTATGATCCCACGGAACCAGCTTGAAATCGTGCCGCGATTGGTGTCGTCGGCCCAGAGCCAGGCCTCTTGGTAATGTGTACTGCCGGCGAAGTTGCGTATAGAGATTGCTCAGTCTCCGGTATATCCGGTAAGTCAACTTCGATATCCTCCTCGACCGCAAGAGGTGTTGGTTTCGATTTGGGCTTTGGAGGCGGAGATAAGCCGCCGCCTTCCTCAAAATGAAACAGCTCGTCTTCCTCATCCACGTCTTCGTCGACTACTCCCACTTCGTAGTGAGTACCAGAACTTGGAGCTTTAGTAGGTGAGGGTGGGCTTGCATCATGGCCACTGATCTGACTCTCCTCGGGGATTCTGTTCAAAGACGGCGATGCAGGCGCTTTCTTATTGGTAAAAGACCTAGGTTTCGCCATTGAGAGGAAGTCGTCATCGGATGAATCCTGATCCTCATCTGGGTCCTCACTCACGCTCCCCAACGTGCGTTCGATTCGAACAGATTCGGGAACATGGCGTGGCGATGGCGGTTCTGGTGCAATAATAACAGGGCTGGCTCGTTCTTCAGACAGAGATTCAGAAATGCTAGCATATTTCTTGTCCTCTTCACCGGCCCTTTGATCTGGATTTGAATTAACCTCGGTCCACACTCCTTCCTCCAACGGCGCCCTAGATAGTGCTCTCAGCGCTTCTGAAGATGAAATCTTTCGGGGCGGTGGTAGGTCCTCCAGGTCATCGTCGAGCATAGATCCAGCGTGAGGCTGGTCGGCGGATGCGGCAGAGGCCGCGGAGGGAATCATGGAATCGGTAGGTTGTGGTGACGCTGTAGGTAAGACCTCTGCTCCCATGACATCGAAGCGCACACGCCTGGGACTCTGAGGGGGTTTGGAACCACTCGAAGACCGTCGCAGGGCGCTCCGTGGTGTTTTCGACTCGCTCCGATCCGAATGGCACGACGAGACAGTATCATTGGTTGAGCGGCGAACATGACCTGGCCGTCCAGGCGAATGAGGCACTACTGGCAAGGCGTTCTGCAGTTGGTCAGTGCCATTATCGGGTTTCCTTCCTGTCTCAATGGCCGAGTCTTGCTTCTCGTCTGCCTGGATGCTCGGGTCAGGCAACAACATGTCGAGCGGAGGAGTGTGGTTATTTGTGAGGGGAGGAGAGGTAAGCGGTCTTGGAGGAGAGCCCTCTAACAGGGGAAGGTAAAAGAGCAATTCGTGATGTCGATCGCGGGGGCTGCCTGGAGGCTCTGCGGCTCCCGATCCGGAGGTAGCGACAGTGGCCGGCGGGGAAAAGTGGCGTTGAGTCGACTCAAGTGGGAGAGTTTGTGAGTCAGCTCCAGCTTTATTAAGGACCAGATTCAGACTTGTGAGAACTGAGCTGAGGTCTGGGTATTTGGGTAATGACTGGGTTATGGACTGGGCAACATTGGAAGCGATGTCGGGTTGTGCGTCTCGGAGCAGATCGTGGTAGTAGCGCAGGAAATCAGCTGCCACCTCGTGGCGAAAGGTGTGAACCTTGTGCTCGAGCTCCGAGAGCCTCTGAGAGAGGCTATTGACAAGGCTTGCCTCATCCATAGTCTACTCGTATACCTACAGTACTCGTAGTGCCTTGAGTTTTAACAGGTTCCTCCAGGCGAGCTAAAACTAGACAAAGAGGGATGTCTCGGTATGCGCATGACGCAACAAGCTTGGGAAAGACGCTTACTTTGCCAGAGAAGGGGATTTTTATGAGTGACGGCACGTGAAGGATTTTGCGGGATTGTGAGTTGTAAGGGCGGGAGATAAGTAAATCAATGTTAGAATGGGGATTTTTGATTTTGATGGCGACGAGGCCGTGGGCAGACCAAGCACAAATCGAGGTTTGGGGGGATGATAGTGCGAACATTGGTACGCCTAACAGCGGCCCTGGTTCTAAGTCTGGCTAGACCATTCTAAAAGTTGACATACAATGGGCCTCGATCAATCGGTACTCCGAACCTGCTAACTATACCTTCCATACTTGCCTTATGTCTCCAACATTTTGACAGCTCGGATAGAGCATGATGAACCGAAGGAATGGATGGATAGATACGACACTGGATGAGTGAATGGTTTGATTACTATGTACCGGTCCGGCTGCAATTCGCCAATTGACTACTACTTATATGTTTTACTCTATGGACGAACTGGTTGGTCTTCTCTGACTTGGTCAGCTCTGATCTAAGGTTATAGCTCAGCCAAACAACAATTCTTTGTCCTGACTGGCCGGTTCCGGACACTTATTGCGACGATCACGATCACTTTTCTACATAACATACTTAGGGAGGTACTTACTATGTACCTTTCCCCCTCCACTGGAAGCATTCAGCCAGTTCGATTGGGTAGTAGGTAAGGTATGCTAGAGAAAAAGAAACCCCGCCGGTTGACTCCGTTATCCAAACATCCATCCATGACTTGCGCCTTGGTAACAGTTAGCGCGGGTACCTCACCAGCTATCAGCAGCAGTTATCTGTTTCGTCCTGCTATATATTATGAGAATTCTCCCGTGAAAAGATCGGTCGAATCCAAACCGGGACCTCTATTATACAGCACCATCTTCTAGAAATCTCATACAGTTGCATCATAGAGCCATCTTCAGGGTAGTGCCAAGAATCGTTGCTTTCATTAGCTGAGAAGGCAGGTTCAGCGGAAATACAATGTTCCTCAGAGCCATGACTTCAGGTAGCCTCGAACAACTCCAGTCTAGATCTTACCTAGCAAGATGCCCATTGCAAGTATAGCGATGAAGCTTTGGAAAGACATGAGAAAATGGTGCGCCGGGGTCATCGCACAGTGAACTTAGGTCCCATTCGGGGTTTTTACAAGCGTCTTGTCCTAGGCACATCAAACGACTGCTTAATCTTGAAACATATTTACTAAGCATTTCGAGATGTATTTTACTTTTTAAATCGACATACATATATACCTTTACATTGCTGGCCACGTCAATTTTGCTATTCTTGAGCCTGGTGTCTGTCCTAATAGGTGATTGTAATTGTATGGAAGCTTGTCACAACGAATTCAGAACGTCAACTCGCTGGAAATACCACCTTTCTGCGCCACACAGTTACCAATGCATAGGTAAGTACTAAGGTAGTATAAACTCAGTTGGGATAATATCCTGATAAGTTCGTACACTCATTGCTTCGCATGAGCCATAATAGCGGATTATGAGCCACTCAAATACGATTTATTGGTTGTCATCCATCGCAAACACTGAGGTGCCTTATTGTCTGATGGTGCTACACCGCCTTCTCGTTTAGGGACTTGGGACACATTCTGCCGTAAATAATCCTGGAGCTCTAGAAGCACTGACTGACCTGAGCTCTCCGCAGTTTCTCGGGTACCGACCTAGATACTCCGGTAGCCAATACTGCATTCGACTCGACGACAGCATAATAAGGTACCTTGACCAACTTCGATATACCTAACTATATAAAAATTATCCCTCAAAAGCGCCCGAATAGCAGTCATGTCAACAATAACCCCCGATGCGCTTCAGTCAGGACAGCCGCCCGTCATCCCCCTGTCCTTCAATGGCAACCAGCCTGAAAAGGTGACGCTCTACCCGCTGTCGAACTACACGTTTGGGGTCAAGGAAACCCAGCCTGAAGAGGACCCATCAGTCATCGCTCGTCTCAAGAGACTCGAGGAACACTACGCGGAACATGGGATGCGCCGCACTTGCGAAGGCATTCTCGTCTGCCACGAGCACAACCACCCACATATTCTGATGCTGCAAATCGCCAATGCCTTTTTCAAGCTTCCCGGAGACTACCTACGCCCCGAAGACGATGAGATTCAAGGCTTCAAGTCGCGGCTGGACGAGAGGCTGGCGCCCGTCGGCCGCTTGGGAGAGGGTGAAGAAGCTGGTGACTGGCAAGTGGGCGACTGTCTTGCTCAGTGGTGGAGGCCTAACTTCGAAACATTCATGTATCCTTTTATCCCGGCGCATGTGACGAGGCCAAAGGAGTGCAAAAAGCTCTACTTTATTCAATTGCCCAAACAAAGTAGGTAAACCGATCATTATTGAGAAATTAGATACTCATTCTTCCTGTAGAGGTTCTAAGCGTTCCCAAGAACATGAAGCTTCTGGCCGTTCCTCTATTCGAGCTCTACGACAACACTGCGCGATACGGTCCACAGCTTTCTGCAATTCCGCATCTTCTCAGTCGATACAACTTTGAGTTCGTGGACGAGAATGGCAATGTCGTCGCTGCCACACCAGGGTCTGCCGCGCCAGAGGGCTATGTTCCATACACAAAAGTATTGGCAGGCGATGATACGGACATGAAGGAGGAGAATGGAACAAGCTGATCCCCCTATAGGACCGCAGAGACACGGCGATGGTGTTCGGCGTTTTTGGTTGTTTGCCCGTAGAGGAAGGATGTGTAAAAGCTCAAGTATAGGTTTCCTCTCTTCTCCCTGTTTTCTATACATCTAAGTCCACTTTTCCGTGCATCTCACTCAAGCCTTTTCCCCCTGGATAGTTGCGACGACCCGTCTCTGGTGGCGAGCGGCACGGAACTCGAGGTACCAGATTCCCTGCCAAGTTCCTGTAGCCTAGGTATGGCGATATCAGTCATTTATGGCAGGACCAAAGATTGGCTGGCACTTACAAGCTTTCCATCCTTAATGGGAATAGTAACGCTCGCCCCAATGAGTGCAGACTTGATGTGGGCAGGCATATCGTCTGGGCCCTCCGCACTATCGGGTGTCAATGTCTTTTCTTGCGACTTATATGCAAAGCACTCACTCATGACGGTATAGAGCCTCCCCCTTGGGTCCTTCAGCTGGCGCGATTCTGTCAAGAGCATCGCTCATATCCTCCCGAACATCAGAGTCCCCTTGGTATTCTCATATCAGCGTCAAGAGCTCTCTAGGCCTGAATAATTCAGCTCACAGTTCTCGTTCAAGCTCAAAGCACAGCTCGTGTGTTGAACGAAAAGGTTCAGAAGGCCAATCTTGTAATCCCGAATTTCGGGAAGTGAAGACACAACCTGGTCAGTTATGAGGTATGAACCCCGTGACTTGGCAGGAAGAGTGAATTGCTTCTGAAAAAAGCTCATGGTTGTTGCTGTCGAATGGTCTATCACTGGAGGGGCAGTTGAGCGGGGTTGAGAGGGTCCTGATAATCCAACAAGGCTAAAAGGCAGTGTCCAGAGATAGTGGAACAGACCGGGGAACAGAGAGATTACAAGCAGTAAACAGAGGAGCACTGGTGTCGTTGCAGAGTTGAGGCGTGATGTTTGAAGTTGAGGCATGGCTTATTAGATTGAATCGTGCCTGAAAGCAAATAACCGTCATAGTGGGGCCAGAGTTGGACTCTACCTATGAGTCTCTTTCTATCCGTTTACCTTATATCAAGCTCCTCTTTAGCCAATCACAACGCATCATTTATAATCCCCTCTAGGTACTATCCGTACTTAGTTCCCTTACACTCACTCTACCTATCGCCGTAGGTAGGCAAGCATCACATTCATTTTCATAATGTGAGACGGCAGCATGATTCCGTATCCGAACGCTTCAGTGGATGTTTGTGATAGTTCTTAAGAACATGCTGAATCGATGGTGATTTTAACATGTCATCGGGGCAGATAGACATGAAGACCACGCTAGGAAAGCTGTCGGGTTTGTTCTTATTGTATTCGCGGAGTATATACAGAAGTTTGAGTTCTCCGTTCAGAAACAACACAATACACGGACCATTTTTGCCTCTAGCACATGTCTTAGTAGCAATCCAGATAGCAACCCTCCCTCTCCGGTCCTATCGTTCGATGCTGATTATGACAGAGGGTAAGAAGTTTCTGGGAGGGATTCGAGGTGGGTTCGGTGGTGTTCGTGGGCCTAAAATATAGTATGAGTATTGAAAAAGCACAAATTGCTAGCGGTGTGTCGTACGAAAGGTAGGCCGCAGTAGCCACAAACAGCAATCTCGGGCTTGTCGGTGTTGATGAAGACTCTGGGATGACCCTCAGGGCCACCGCCGCCATTGCAGGCAACAATGCGCTCGTGCGTCCATGTAACGGGTTGCTTGTGAATCATCTCAATGGCGGCTTTGGGTTGAGGCTATAACACGGTTAGTGATTTGATATTCCATCCTAGCTCCCTCGCCTCGGTTGTACCTGGAGATCGAAGTCGGTCTGCTCGAATCGGGGGCCGGTCATGGCCTGAGAACGTGGTCTCTGGCTACGGGACCAGACACCGACACGGTTGGGAGCTTGATTGATCTCGACGGGCTTGTTCTCGTTGACCGGGGCGGGGGCGGTCTCGTTGGTCTTGGTAGAGACAGCAGTATCGAATTGCCGAGCGGAGGTGGTGAAGGCGCGCCGGGAGAGGCGTGCACCACGCGCAAAGGCGCCAATTGCTCTCAGTTGAGATGTGGCCATTGTAAATTCGTCGATTTCCCAGTGTGCGAATCGAGTCGTCAGTGTCGGCACTGGATGATCTCCTCGTGGACGTGAGGCATTGAACTTGGCAGTTGATATTAACCCCGGACCCCTGGTTTATCCGTGACCGAAATATTTTTGTTCTTCCAGACGGAGGTAATGCGCCTGGGTACCTAGGAACATTGTGTTTTGCGACAAACACGATCCTTTCTGCCCTCTTGTAATCGAATCACTGCAAGATTTTGTAAATTGGTCTTCATGAATTAACCTAATATACAGGGTCGTTTTCTGCCCTGTAGCTATAGCCTCTCCACGTGTTTGCGCCACCGCAGCTTTTCCCACTCGAATTATAACGAAGCGTCTTCGCAAACATAATAATCATTGACACGATCGTTCATCATGGCGCCCGAAACACCACGAGCAGTCTCTTCGAGACTTCTTACTATGAAGTTTATGCAACGGGCAGTAGCCTCAGAAAATTCGTCCCCGGATTCAGAAACACATTCATCCAAGAAAAGAAAGACTGGACATTCCCCAGCGGCGGGTCGCCTTGATCTGAACATTGACCAGGCTGCAATCAAGGCTGCTCTCGATGCACAAGAAACTAAACGACAAGAGGCCCTGGAGAGGCATGTTGGGGCCGACACCCATTGGGTCCTTGACAACCCATTTGCTGGGTTGAAAGCTGCAAGTCAGACCAAAGCACCTCTCAACGTCGTGTATGTTGGGTATGGTGATATGGATTCGTCTAACGACTCAGGCGATAACGAGGACGTGCCGAGAAACGGGCGTACTTCAACAAATAGCTTCAAGAAGGCGGCGAACCAGGCATGTCGATCACTACCTTATGCCGTGATAGATAGGGCCAAGACTGCTGACTGACCGTGACAGAAACAAGAATCCCAGAAGGCATCAGACAACGACAGCGATAGTGAAGATGAGGACTCAGACGACACAAATACGCCAGCGCATGGACAAAAGCGGAAGCCATCCAGTGATAGCCCAAGCCGTTTACGCTCGCGTTCCCGGTCAAGGCCAACTGCAGAGAGTGCCAAAGCCAAAGAATTCCGGGATAAGAGAAAGAAAAAAGAGGTGAAGCTCAGCAAGCCAACATCAATATCCTCCGGTGGTGGTATTTCCTCAGGAGGCGGGAGCCAGTTCTCCCCTGCTGGAAAAGCCATGACCTGCTACAAGTGCCACCAGACTGGTCACAAAGCTGTCGACTGTCCTAAGAGGGGTCAAATGGCACACATATATGATTAGAACCATACAAAATCCATGGGGATGTCTTGAGTTGATGTCGTCTGCGGATTTGACACTCTGCATTATCTCTGGCCCAAGTCTGGAGCTCCTTGGTATATACAGGAAATCTCTACCTATTCTCCCTTTTCCACATCATTACATACCAGGGCCAGGCGAAATGGGGGTAAGCACACAGGGTTAAGAAGTGAAGGAAGTGGGAAAATACAGTTGCTGAGCAAACTCCTCTAATGACGACTGTTAGACATCAGCTTCATGGGTACTAAAGTGCATCCCCTGAGCAAAGACAGGAAGGCCATAATCGTTCGCCGAATTTCGTGATTAAAGGCTTGTTGGACATAAGGGTTACGGGGATAACATGCATTGAGCTTGTACCATGTGCAGCCGAGGTATGTGATGTATACTCCTGAGACTGCAATGAGATGCAGCCACTATTACTACTGTCAGTGAATCACTCTAATGTAGTATGGTACATACATGGATATGTGCGTATGTGCCCATACTAATCAAAATCTCTACATATCTGGACCAGCCGATAAATGGTGTTAATGCCAAATTAAGGCTATTCACGTACACAGACAGCCAAAAACAATGTGGCATTGGCGACTTTGACCTGAGGCTCAGGATTCCTGTGATGTTAGGTAACTTGTCTAAGCAGAGCAGCGATCGATATATGTAACACTACGATTTCAGCTCCATGGATGGTGATATATAAGTGATCGATATGCCGAGAAGGTGTGTAAATATCCTCTCAAATCACTCGTACAATTGATATCTTCTCTTCTGATGTACATAGAATTTGGACCCGTATTTATTACAAAATCTCATCCGGGTATTTGGGCACCATGCTTCATTAATTACCGACCTTTTTGGCCTGCACAACAGTGAACAGAAGTTGGAAATGGGCAAATGTTTAACCAACGAGAGTCGCCCACTCCACGTGGCTCATTAAAGATGTAACATATGCAGGCAGAATAACGATTCGGAAGCCAAGGAACAATATCTAATTCTGCAGCAACGGCGATGCTCTGTTTGAATGCTCTGTTTGACGTCTCACAGATACATACAGGTAGTACGGAGTAGCATGCCTTTGTTTATAACCTTCAGGGAGAAAGACGATCTCTGATGTTCGAATCCACGCCAAATGATACTAAATTTGTTCAGTTTCCTTTGTCGTTTGGGATAGAGATCCTACATAGTAAGTTTTCCTGCCTCCCCTTGATCACTTCTATCTTCAGTGATCCTCCAAGGATCTTGACAAATATGGATGCATGGGATTGGTCGGACGCTTAAGAATCTACCGCGACCAGGTGTCACCATTCACAATTTTTGATACCACAGAGCAGAGGTCCGACTTGTTAAGCATTTGGGAGACAAAAGAGAACAGTCTTATTTAGGTACTTCAGCGCACTTGCTCACGAATCACTGAGCTTGTATGTCAGCATAAGAACTCCGTGGGGAGCGTTGCAAGAAACTGACCATGAACTAAGTACTACCCTATAGCATGGAAGTACATGGCCACTAAGGTCTATATACCTACCTGGATTACCTACCTAGACTTACCTACTTCTTAGGTAGGTAGTAGGTTGGCATCATCGGTGATGTTTCCAATGTATATAAGTAACGACCATATTCAGCTCTCTCGATAATTACTAGTACCCTACGAAGGCGAAACGAACAACATCCATGCCCAGCATTTCATGATGGTTATTAATAGGCACAGACTTTGTTGTCTGGATAAGCTCATCGTATATGCGCATGATGGAGGGACAGCACATTGCTGACGAATTGTTGCTCATCCGGTTGTTTAGCCACATCATTTTGAACACATCACATCAGCAAGGACAAAGACGAATAGTACCTCTACCTTAGTCTCGAAGGACATGACTGCTTAGGTAGGTACCTTACCTAGCATCAACTCCCCTGCCTAGGTAAGTATTCAAATCTGGCACCCACACGACAACTGAGGACGGTCTTGTCCCTCAAAGAGTCCAGGGACCAGAAGGTTCGGGTCTCAATATCCACTACCCTTCTCTCTTAGGTACATAAGCAAGCCATCAATCACCCAACAAGGTTGTTCTTGTCCGTCCTCGATATCAGGGACCAGCCGAGACCCTTGATTGCAAGAAGGATTGGGGATTGGTCATTCGAAAAACTGGTCCTATTTCGAGATAGGGCCCGTACAAGCCGAGCAACTCTTCCATCATTACCGAATCGGTAAAGAACTCGGTATCCTTCTCTTCTCTTTTGTTCCCTTCCTACCCTGACAGCCATTTTAACGGAGGCCTGGGAGGCTCGCCCATCTTTAGTCTACTGGTAACACTGCTCCACAGGCATCAGTAGATCGCCGGTTCTGCACAGACCCTTGGCTTCTTTATTCTGCTGTGCGCGTGCTCAATATCGAGTGGCGCACCCCACAAGCTCAATCATCGCCTTCAAAGTGGTTCGGTCATAGAAGGACACAATTCAAAAGTTCAACTCCGTTCAACAGTCTGACTGGTCTGGCTCAAGAATATCCCCCGTTTGCGCCAGCGATATTCTAACCCTAGTCAGCTAGAAAGCGAGGAAACTAGGCTAAGGTAACCTCCCCATGTCCTTGCAGAGCCCTCCCGAGGCCCATGTTGAATACCTAGTACCTTACCTACATATAACCAGCACAGGTACCTTTCTCATGACATATATAGTTAGGTAGGTAGGTAGCTAACTGTCTACAGCCATTCCTAGGTCCAGGTACCTAGCTCCCCCATCTTCATTATCATCACCATCATCTCTCAGATCTTAGCCCCTGTACTCCATACTGTAGCCATCCATTCCACCATTGCTGGCATCCATCATACCCCTCGCCCCTCAGCACGTAGGTACCTAGGTAAGTCTCCCCCGCGACAATGGCCCTGCCCTGCCCTGACCCTGTACCTTAGCCTCCAGGGACTGTCTTACAGTACTTACCTCTAGTAAGGTAGGAACCTTACCTACGGGACGGTATCCGTTCTGTACCTTACTTCCAGGTCACATCTGCTTTGCCATTGCCATACTTACCGCACTGCATTATTTTCTTGGTTCTCGACATCAATTGGATCACATTCGTTCCATTGTCTTGCGTCTATCGTCCTGTACGCGCCGACTTTGTCCAATCGACTCTCGTACCTGAGCACGCAACTCGTACGAACCCTTGCGATCGGCGACCTGCCCTACCGCATTTCACGGCCGTTTTCTTCCTCCGGTTTCCGGATACAACTTGTGCCGTGTGTGTCGGTGTCACGATTGGTGTCGGTGTCGGTGACAGTATCGGTGTAGAAATTTGGTTTTGCGCCTGCATTTGCACCTGCATTTGCAACATACACAATGCCTCACTCTCAGCATGAAGAGGATGCCTCCGCAGCGATGGGTGGTGCTCCCATACCGGTGACGCTTGTTACCGACTCTCTCGAGAAGCCTTCCCTCGACGATCGCGACTATCGAGTCATTCGTCTTGGCAATGAGCTCGAGGCTCTCCTGGTGCATGACCCCGAGACCGATAAGGCCAGCGCTGCTCTGGATGTCAATGTGGGAAACTTCAGCGACGAGTCTGATATCCCCGGGATGGCCCATGCGGTTGAACATGTAAGTGCCCCAATTCGACATTTGTGATGTCATACAAACAGACAGTGGACTAACATTTCTGCTTGCCAACAGCTTCTTTTCATGGGCACCAAGAAATTCCCAATTGAGAACGAATACGGCCAATACCTCTCCGCCAATTCGGGAAGCTCAAATGCTTACACTGGGCCAACATCGACGAACTATTTTTTCGATATTTCTGCCAAGCCGGACAATGACCAGGATCCTTCAGATACCAACCCTTCTCCTCTGCGCGAGGC